CAGTGGATAAAGGTGGAATCCCAGGCAGCCGGGCGTGCCCCAAGGCCAGAAATGCCAGCGAGTGTGTTGGTCCATATCTGTTTCCCACACGTATGGGGTGGGACCCACATGACGCCCATCCACATTCTGGGGGTCCGCAGGTTCCATTGCCAAGTTCACACGCAGGCACACATGTGTGGACATTCATGTCTACATTGTGCACACACTTTGCGTGCATTGTGATGCTCACACACATGCACACGCACACACACGTGCTCAAGCATGCGCATATAGACAACGGCTTTTGTTTCTGGATTCTCTGTACTCTGCTGCACTTTCATTGTATGAGCCCAAGGATTATCGACCTCAGAGGAAACGGAACCCTCTGGAATGCTGGGGTCATAGACCTGCTTTCAGCTGAGTCTTAACCACCTGACACTTCACCCCCTTCCTAGATACGGAAGTGGGGCAGCCGGGTGTTTGTGTGTTGTGACGAGTGTCGAGGACACACGTCATCAATGGCCCTGACCTGTCTCAGCAGACGTGGGTTGGCCCTGAAGCATCACAGGCCCTCACACGGAGCCCTCCCAGCGGACAAGGACAATCCCAGGGGCCGTCTGGGGGATTCGGGCTCAGCTCTGCGGTTACAGATACGTGGCAGCTAGACCCAGCGTGCAGGAATGGTTGACGGGCGGTTTCTCATTCTGTCAGGGTGTGCGGGGAGGAGGAAACACCTTCTGTGAGGCTGTGCAGTGGGAGCGGCTCTCGTTAGCCCTGAAATAGAAACAGACTCCTGCCCCGGGTAAAGCACACAGCAGGGATGGGGCTGGAGCAATAGCACAGCGGGTAGGGCGTTTGCCTTGCACGCGGCCGACCCGGGTTCGATTCCCAGCGTCCCATATGGTCCCCTGAGCACTGACAGGGGTGATTCCTGAGTGCAGAACCAGGAGTGACCCCTGTGCATCACCGGGTGTGACCCAAAAAGCAAAAACAAACAAATAAAAACCCCACAGCAGTGAGCTCTCAGAACAGCATCGAACAGGTGGGCTTCCCCCGCCCAAACTGGGGCTTCCCAGCCCAGGCCCTGCTGAGGAAGCCAGACCCCCCACCCCACTTCCTAGCCTTTTCCTCACGGGCACCTCCCAGCCTTCATGCACAGCGGGTCGCCCACCTTTGGGATGTTTGGGTTTCAGCCCACTGATGCACATTTTATTTTTAAATTTTTTTCAGGGATGGGGGCTTCCCAGGGGTGCTCAGGAGGCTTGAGGGCTTTGCCCTACAATATTCAGTCAACCTCATTAGAAGTTCAGTGCTGGAACCTTGCGGTGCTGACCCTCCAGGGTGACCATGGTGTGCTCAGGCCCCTCCCCCCCCAGGGCTGCCCGGAGACAGCGGAACGCTACATGTGCTAAGGATCAGACCTGGGACTCGCTGATGGCCGCCCTGTCCCCAGACCCACGAGTGGAGTCGTTCCTGGGTAGGTCCCTAGTGGTGCAGACCAGCCGCAGCACGTGACTCGGAGAAGGCTGAGTCCCTGCTCTGTTCTCTTTCATCCACCATTATGGTGCCAGGGAGATGGTTTCAACTGGACGTGTCTTTCAGCACCTTCTTCTCATCTCTTTCAAGAGCCAGAAACCGCCCTTGGCTCAGACAGCGGCAGGCGATAGTGTTGAACGAGACACTAATGCTATGCCTTGTTAATCAATTTTAGTGTGCTTTGGGGTGTTCTGGTTTTTTTTTTTTGAGGTGATTTCCAACTTACAGAAACTCTGCAAAAATAGTATAGGGAACTCTTTATTCCCTTATCCTTCTAATTAGATTCACTCACTAATTACATTCTGTCCAATTTGCTTTACGACCTTCTCTTTTTCTCTCTGCCTCAATTTGGGGAAACCGTTGGAGAGAACTTTGGAGATGTCATTCTCCTTTATACCTAAATGCCCCCGTGTGTTTTTTCCGAGAATAAGGACGCGAGACAATGGCCCACACCAGACATCCTGGGATGAAGGCAACACCCTCCTCTGATCTGAATTTGGCAGTTGTCAGCTTTTGACTCGACGATAGATGAGGAGACAGATAATGATCATAGGTAAAAGACAATGAATGGGTAGGTGAAAGAAATAGACAATGGATGGATGGATGACAAACGATGGAGTACTCTTGAACAAGAACGGGAATTTTTTGTAGATTCTTAATTGATTCAGTAGCCCAAGGGACAAGGCATTTGCCTTGCATGCAGCTGACGCTTGTTCTACGCCTGCAACTGCATATGGTCCTGGGAGCACCAGTAGGAGTGATCCCTGGGTTCAGGACCAGGAGGAGTACCCCACCCCCCATCCCCAGCCCACCAGCACTGCCGGGTGTGGCCCAAAGCCAACAGAACAAAAGGAAGCAAGACCAGACAATGTCAGTGTATGTCGATTTCGTGTGCTCTGACTTCCTGCTGGTTAATTCCACTGGGGTGCAGGGATTCCTAGTCTCAAAGTCAGACTGGAACACCACAATCCACCAGAGATTTAGAATCCAGAGATAGGAACTAAAATATTTTGCAAAGGAGGATGAGCTCAAATGCAGTGTAACTGGGTCTCTGGGGCTGCTTCTTCACAACACGGTTCCTTAAGTCATCAGGGTTGCGCGGCCCTCTCTCGCCGACCTCGGTGGAACTCTCCAGAGTCAGAAAACAGCAGGCAGTCTCCTCTGTCCCAGGGCCGACTCCCGAGATGCTGACAAGAGCCATCACTGAAGACTGGCCGGGTTCTCCTTGGTCTGTCGCCCTTGGTCTGGCTTTCTGGCTTGAGGGGACTTGAGCGTCTTTCTACAGATTTGTCTGAGACCTTGAGATGGCATCAGGGCGGGTCACTTCTTGGGCCTAAGCCTGATACGGCAGCCCCTGAGCATCCCTGTAAGACCACTTCCCCACCCCCCAAAACGCAAGAAAGACTTGGTCCATTTCCCCATCTGGAGTCTTTCATCTTCCTCATCTGGAAACTTCTCTCCCATGTCTCTCCTTTATCTCCCTTTTCAGATGCCCCATGCCCGCCCCCCCCACAGCCCCCAGCCCTTTCAATCAGTTGGGCCACTTACCAACCACCATTCACGCAGACTCACGGACGGCGGGAGAGGTCATGCTATGCTGAATACTTTTTTATTTATATTTCGTCTGTAAACATAATTTGCTTTGTAGGCACAATATAACGAAAGCTCTAAAGCCACAAATACATTGGACAATGTCTCAGGTCACTCCCCCGGCTCAGGTCACAGGGACGCCCTGGCAGTTCCCATAAAGGTGACCACACGCGGCTGCCGTGTCCAGCACCAGGAGACGGGCAGGCAGACACCGCGCTCTGCGCCACGCTTGGAAGCGAACCCCCGCCTTCGCCCCATCCCAGGTTCTGAGCGGGTGGAAGGACGTTCCCTAACTGCCTGGCACGATGAGTCGCTGAAAACAACACCACCTTTTTTTTGGGGGGGGGCATGCGCGGCCAGCTCCCCTTCAGGATTCCGAGATGCTCCCCTGCTCACATGGCCCTAGGAGATTCTGTCTGTCCAATCCCCCCCGCCCCCCCCCCCCCCGAATGTCGCTTGGCACGTTGCTCTCTGTAAGACCCCATTGTTGCACCATTCTGGGGGGCTGTGACCGACCCACACAGATTTCCACAGGGGGTCCTGGGGAGAGAACTACTGGTGATCAGAAAGGCCCAGAACTGGAGGTGGGTTTGGGGGAGGGGAGGGGTTCTCTCATACGGCCTCCTGGGGTGAGCAGCGGGCAACCTCCGTGTCCTCTCCTCTCCCCGTGTGACACCTTCTCCCACCGCAGGGAGGAGGAGCCCCCTTCGGGTGAATATTTGGCACCGGGAAGTCATCGCCCCCAGATGAGGACAGGAAGAGACCTTGAGGACACAAGGGACAAAGGGGCTTCGGGAGGGCAGCTGGGGTGGGGATGGCCAAGACGCGCTCATTCCTGCCGTGGGGTGGGGACATGGTCAGCCCTGCGGCTCACGGTTGACAGAGCTGGCCGCCACATGCTTGGTCATGCCGTGCTGCGGGGGACCCCCATCCCCTCCCCATGCCCCAGGTCTCGCGGGACAGGAAGTGAGTTGGGTGCTGGTGTTGGTGTGGCGGCTTTTTTGAGTTTGGGGGCTGGAGTCGATTCTTGGTGCCAAACAGGCTGGGGAGGAGGGAAAGAGGAACCAGCCCATGGGAATCCTGTGTCTCCTCTTGCGGTGGGGTGGCTGTGCCCCCTGGCCACGCCAAGGGGGAGGGGCAGGCAGTTTCTAAGGGGCCGGCAGCAGGCGAGGGGGTTCCATCGGAAGCGGGGGCTGTCAGGCCCCCAACTCCCAAAGGGCAGGGGCCCGGCCAAGAGTCTGCACCATGATTTTCTGTTCATTTGGTATCAAATGTGGAGCCTCGGCCTCTAAGATGCCGAGAGTTGGCCTCTAGGTTGGAACAGGCTTTGGCAAAATGACGATTAAAAAAGATACAAGTGGATTGTTTCTCTCCCTATATGGGTGCTCGCGAGGTCTCCCGGTTAAATGGGGAATAAGGAGAGCCAGGCTTGGTCATGCCACTGACAGGTGGGCACACGTGGGCATGCCCGAGTCACGGATTCCGAAATAACACGGTGCTTTTGTCTTAAAAATGAAGTGAAAATAGATGTGGCCAGGGCTGGGGAGGGGTTTGGGAAGAGAAACCTTCCCAGACTGGACCCGCCTTCAACTAGCCCGCAAGGACCCGCACTTGCTTCCCTGGCCCTCCCAGATGGGAGAGGCAGGTGAACTGAAAGACAGGGGCTGTTGGCTCAGGAAATCGCCCCCTCTGACCTGCCCCATCTGGCGGGTATTCTCATCTAAGCGTGGGTGACCGGCAGCAGAAAAATGTCATTTGGCCCGAGGAATCTTCACCTGGGGTGGGGTGACCCTCGTGACCCACCCCCCACCCCCCACCTGCCTCGACTATGTCTGGTCTCCTAGACCCTGGGCGGCGGTGAACTGGCGCCCGGAATTGCCAGGTTGTTCCGGACCTGTCGCGAAGGACCCCAAAGAGGATGTGGAGGAAGGGGAGGGGGTTTTCGTGGGGGAGGGACCCTAATACTGCATGGGATGGGGTTGGCACTTAATTTCAAAACACAACAATGATCAACAGCGTCTGTGTTAAGCTCAGCCGACTGCAGACAAACACGACACACACTGACTACGGCGTTTGCTGGCGGGCCCCGAGGGGCGCCTGGCCGGCTCCTCCCCCCATCCCCGGGGGCTTCACTGGATGAAGGGGATCCGCTCCTTGTTCTCACTGTCACCCTCATGGTCCTCCTCCTCCTCCCCGGCCTCGCTGGTCTCGGTGCTGTCGTTGGCCATCTGCGGGGCGACAGAGGGAGGTTCGGTTTGGCCAGGCAGATCGGGAAACACCCCCAATGCCACCCCCACCCCGAGGGGCACTGGCTCGGGTGACAGGAGCTCCCAGGAAGGCAGCATGGTGCTGGCCGGGCCCCCACAGAGTGGACATGAGCATGTGGCCTTGGGATGGGGTGCTGTGCCTTGCTTGATGGGGTCAGGAGCCCAGGGTGGCAGGCCATGCTGCTAGGTATGGACGCTTCCGAGAGGGGTCTTGGGGGTCCGCCCTGGGGGCCTCTGAGAGATGAAGCCGCAGGCCTCTATCCCTTTTCTGCGGTGGCAGGGGACAGGTTCCTTTGCCCTTTGACTCACCAGGGGTGTCGGGGTTTTCTCCACGTCCAGAATTAACTTTCCGATGTTTCCTCGGTCGTGAATCCGCTGCATGGCCTCCTTTACCTGGGGGACAGGAGGGAAGCAGGGATGCCTGTCAGGGGGAGGGGTGTGGGTCGGGAGGCGGTGGGGACCTGGGTGGCGGTGGTAGTGGTGGTGGTGGGGGTGGGGTGGGGGGGAGTTCGAGAAAGAATTCATCACTCTCTCCCACCAGGGGGCGCTGTGGCTCAAGTTTTCTGCGCCGGAGAACCTGAAACCAAATAAGTTAAGTCTCTCTCTCTCTCTCTCTCTCTCTCTGATGCAGTGCAAGCCACTCCCTCTCCAGAGCATAAACGATCGAGGGAAATAACTTCAGAAATAAGGGCGCCAGGATTTCTTTTATAAAATAAAAGCACAGTGATGAGAGGAGAGTGTCTGGGGTACTGCGGTGTTACACACACTGGCCTCAGTAGAGAGCACTTTGGGGCGAGTCTCATATCTTGCTTAAATGTTTCCTGATGCAGACTCATGATTGTGATAAAATGGCCCGTAACTCAACCAAAAAAAGGGGGGTCTAAATGGCTGAATGATGGGGGCTCATGAGACCAGAGATGGTTCCAGGACCCTCTGGAAGCCCAAGGGAGGCAGAGAGCAGCTCATTCTCCACCTGCGTGGGGAAGTGGGGTGGTGCGGGGTGCGGTCAGGGTTTCCTGCAGAGGAGAGGGCTGGAGGCGAGAGCCTCACCTGGGTGAAATGAATCGACGTGGAAACAGCTGCCCAGCATTTACAGAGTCACCACAGAGCTAGCCTAAGCACGGCCAGGAACCTTCTCTTTACAGCTGTGTACCCCCACCAACCAGTCCACCAGGCCACGTCAAATGCCACTTTCTTTTATTATTATTATTATTAGTGAAACACCATGAGGTACAGTTGTAGACTTACAAAGTTTTGTGCTTGGGTTTCAGTTATAAAATGATCAAGTACCCATCCCTCCACCAGGGCCCATTCTCCACCACCACTGATCCCAGTATCCCTCCCACCTCTCACCCCCCATTCCACCCTGCTTCTATGGCAGGGCATTCCCTTTTGTTCTCTCTCTCCTTTTGGGTGCCATGGTTTGCCAAAAGAGACATTAAGTGCAATCATGCTCGGTCTATATTCTACTTTCAGCATGCTTCTCCCATCCTGGGAGGATCCTTCCAACACTCTTTATTTGGTGCTCCCTTCTCTATCTGAGCTGCCTTTTCCCCTAGCGTGTGCGGCTGGCCTCCAAGCCATGGAGTAAACCTCCTGGTATTTATCTCGGCTATTCTTGGGTGTTAGTCTCCTATTTTGTTACTTTATGTTCCCCAGATGAATGCAATCTTTCTATGTCTATCCCTTTCTTTCTGAGTCATTTCGCTTAACATGATACTTTCCATGTAATACCACTTGTATGTGAATTTCATGACTTCATCTTTTCTAACTGCTACATAGTACTCCATTGTGTAAATGTACCAAAGTTTCTTTAACCAGTCATCTGTTCTCGGGCACTCAAGTTTTTTTCAGATTCTGAAATGCCACTTTCAAGGCTAGAATTTGGTCTGGGTTGGGTCTGGGGGGCGAGGCTCAAGGCTGACACCTCGATCTGCCCTCAGGAATCCCTCCCAGCAGGGCTTGGGGGACCAAGTGGGGTGCTGGGATCAAACCCATGTCACCTGCGTGCGAAGCAAGTGCCCTGTCCCTGTACTATGGCTCTGGCCCTCACGATATTAAAAGGAAGATATTAAATAGAAGATTAAATATTATTAACTCGAATAAGATTTTATTAAGATATTAAACAGATGTTAAAAAGAAGCCGGAAGGCAGTGAGGGGCTCTTGGAGCTGTGTGCTTACAGGGACACCGATGGGGTCCGCTCCCCAGCCAGAAGGAGCCTGGCAGAGCCAGTGAAAGGTCAGCATTCCAGGTGCTTCCCCGGGGATTCATCTCCAAGATCACAAAGGTGGGCGGGAAACTGGCAGCACAGGACGGGCCATCCCAGCATTGTGCTCGGTGACACCCAACAATGGGGCCACCTTCATGCCACAGATAAGGAGCTGCTCAGTAAACCATGGCTCTCACACCACAGAATGGAAACGTCAGGCTGAGGATAACGCCGATCAGAAAGAATGTGGGCAAGATCAACTGCTCAGTGGCAGGAGAAAGCGAGCCCGGGGTTTGGGTGCAGATTTCCACAGAATGGGGCCCCTGTGATCACGAGAAAGGCATTTCAGGCCGCCAGCTCGGAATGACAGTCTTTCAACACACGCTTAAACACCTTCTGCGGGGAACATACTCTTAAGTCAGTATCGCAGAAATTAGAATGCGCATCTCAGCGTCTCTCCTAGGGCTCAGGCGCAGGACAGCCAAGAACTGGCCAGTCAGAAGCTGACCCCTATGCCCCCTCCCCATGTTGGGGATAGAACCCAGTTGGCCGTGGGGGGTTGAATCGGTTTCTGTTCTAGAGACGGAAGGCTGCATATTGGAGCAGGGCTTTCTGGCACTGGCCCAGGAAGACAGCTACTGCTCCTGGCCCACATGGATTGCTCTGCAAGTGTTTGCGCATTGGGATGTAATGCAGCACCACATGGAGCTCAGTTTCTGAAGGGGGCAGTGCCTTGAATCCAGGACAAAACCTCTCCCCACAATGCAGTGAACTGGACCCGTGGCTTCTTTCTGAGCCACAGAATCCAGCACCCATGAAGGGCTGACACAGTCTTGATCAGGGCGATTGTGGTCGCCATCTTCTCTTTCTTTCTTTGACTCTCCGTGCCTTTTGTACTGAAGGAACAAGCAAGCGGTCATGTGTCACTGCCCAGTGGAAAAGTCCACTAGGATAAGGGACTGACAACTCAGGATCTGGCCAGCCAAGAATCGACCAATCAGAAGCTGACCCCTTCGCCCCCATTGAAAAATCGCTTAAGGAAATAACTGGGTCTTGGCAATAACCAATGACCATTTGGAAGCAAATCCTTCCCGGAAGAGCTTTGATTCAGGACCACAGCCCTCCCTAAAGACCCCTTACTGGAGCCCTGGGAGAAATCCTGAGCCTGGGACCAGAGAGATAGTACAGCGGCAGGGAACTTGCCCTGGGGTCAGTCCCCAGCATCCCATATGGCTCCCTGAGCCCCACCGGAAGTGACCCCTGAGCACAGAGCTAGGTGTCAGTCCTGAGCACTGCTTGGGGTGGCCCCCAAAAACAAAACAGTAATTTTTTTTAAAATCCTGGGGCTGGAGCCATAGTACAGTGGGATGGGCTTTTGCCTTGCACGAGGCTGACCCAGGTTCAATTCCCGGCACTCCATATAGTCTCCTGATCACTGCTAGGAGTAATGCCTGAGCATTGCCATGTATGGCAAAACAAAAACAAAACAAAACCTGAATCCTCAAACCTGGCTGAGGTCAGAGCTCATTCCTCACCCATCAAAACTGGACACTGAAGCCAGTGAGAGTGTGAGGAAGCGTGTACAGCCACAGAGATATAAGACCCTTCCCCGGAAACACAGTTAGTTCTTCCTCACGAGGTACAGCTCACATCCCCCAGAGAAGAACCTGCGTGTTCAAAGACAGAAGCAGTTTGTGTCTCAGGCTGACATGGTACAGACCTTGCAGTTTAATTCCCAGAGGCAGGGAAGGGGGGAAGGAACCGCTCCAGACAGGCCTCCCAGAATCCCGCTGTTTATTACCCAGGCAAGGCGTTCCGCACCTGGAAACTCCTTGGAGATTAGAAACCGTTTTTGAGCTGGTTCTCCAATACCGCGGAGCCCAGGGGGGGACAGACTGGCTGTTTTCTTACCCATTAAAGCTCATCGTTGGAGCTGGGAAAGTCACCTGCCGAGTGGGCTTCTTCTGCATATTTTGGAACATTTATTTCTGAAACAAACTGATTCCTTCTCGTCTCTGACTGGGGCTGAGGGGAGACCCACCCCAGCGTGGTCTGATCTTCCATCTCGCTGTGGGGACTCAGCTCTTTCGGCTGCGTTTGAACTGTGGCAAGCCTCTGGGGTATAATTTAGGCGGCAAGAAACTGCCCTTTACGGAGGATTTCTTTATCCGGCGCAGCACGAGGCATTTGAGCCCCGTGGCCCCCTGCCCTGGTCTGCACACACCTCTGAGTGGCACGCAGGCACCTGAGGCTCACACATAAGAAGAGCCTAAAACAGGGTGCTCTCTGGGCAGCACCGGGCACCGCGGGAAGGGGACTGAGAGGGCAGCTGCCTCTTGGCAGGACTTGGCACAAACCCAAGGATGGGGGCTCTGTGTTGCACAGAGAAGGCCCCCTCAGGGAAGCCTGCATACACAGATTACGCTCCCCAGCTCCTAGACTCCCCAAGGTGGGGTGGGCACCCTGGCCCGTGACCTGCCCCTCTGGCGGCGGCAGGAAGGAAGCCTTTCCTGGGCTTCTCTGGTGCTTTTGGAACGTGGCCGCCACCGCATGTCCCGCTTGACCTTGGAGTCATGTTACAGGGGCTCCTGGGCACAGCAGGGGTCTGGCTCCTCTGCCCCTTGCCCAGACCACCTCCACTTCCGCTCTGGAGGCCGAGCTTGGGCACCGGGTACCTGTCCAGTCTTGTCCTGTGCTGTTAATTCAGGCATGAGCTCCCCCAGGAAGCTGCTCTGCACCCCCACTTCTGCTCCTCATAAATGGCCACTGAGTTCCCGGGGCACCCTGCTTATGTCCACCTGGTTATATCCCGACCTGCCCCAGCCACTAACCCCAAGCCCCCCTCCAGCTCCCCAGTTCTGGAGCTTACTCAGTCTGGCCACTAAAATGTCCTTATCTGACCTCAGTGGAAAGCCCGAGAAGAGCTTTTGGAGGATGTGATTGCCGGGTTGGGATTTGGTAGGTGAGGAGGAGGCAGCTAGGAGGCGAAGGTGGAGTCTGGGGTCTTCCTGCTTGGGGAGCAGGAAGTGACAGGGAGCCAGAGTCCCGCAGGACAGGAAGACGAGGAATGAACAGGAATGAGGGATGGTGGTGGCAGGGCTGGGCGGAAGAGGCACCTGTCGACTCTCCCGGGATGGGGGCACTGCTTCCCAGACCAGAAGCGTCGCCCCTCCCCCCTTCCT